ACCTTTTCAGGTCCCAGCACTTTGTTCATATTTGTAACATTAATATTTCTCTCACTGTATTAATGTCAATTGTTTTCCCACTTGATCACTTTTTGCAAGAGGATGGGGCAGGATGCTACTCATCTTTATATACCTCTATCCTTGTGATCTAGACAGTTCCTGGTATATGGCAGAGTCTCCCAAAATGCTTGACCAAATCCAGGCACCAGAACCACCTCTGCTCATAAATGAGCTACTTTGAGGGATACAGCATTCTCTTTTCCTAGATGTGTTCAAAACTACAGACAGAGAATCACTAAGGAGATGCTATCAAGATGATTAAAATTCTAGGTAATTGGACTAGATAGACTGCCATTTAAAAACCCCTTTGGCCCAAAGACTCTTAAGTATGCATCGTCCCCTGGCAGTGGGCTTTTTTCTCTCTCTCTCCCTAAAGAAAGCCAATTCAGAAATTATCAGTTAAGGGCAGATTTAAAACCTTATATCACTGGTTTTCTGTCATGAGTTACATTTACATTAACTCATGAGTAAAAACCAGCATCTAAAGTCAGTGACTGACTCATTATACTTAAAATAACATCAGGAAATACAGACAGAAAATAAGTGTGAATTGTTAGATATAGATTATAAGCTCTAGAAGAGGAGAGAAAAATCAAGAGGAAGCCAGACTGATCAATGAAAGGATCCTTAATCAGGTAATGAGTAATATATAGAATGTACATGGTCAGAGAGAAGCACTTCCATATTAAGAAAAACAAAGACAAGGAAGAAATAGAGGGAGAATATAAGCCTGTTATAGTACTGAGGACAAGAGAGTAGTGTGATTAAGGCTCTAGTCAGTGTTGGGGATAGTGGAAAATGCTACTTTTCCAACAATCTAGGGCCAGATAATTGGAGGTGTGGAGGAGAGCTTGAAGGGCTAGTAATAGACCATTGAAGGTCTTGCAGAAGAGCGAGGTGATAAAAGAAGTGTTTAAAAATACCAAACCTGGTAGAACACTGCAGCATGGACTTGAGGGGAGAGCCCAAAGTAAAAGGTAGCCACTGTGAAGATGGTCATAACCTAGTGAGCTGAAGGGGTCAAGGTTCTGTCCTGGGGACAGAAATGTCACTGGGAATCTAGAAAAGAAAGAGCCCGGCCCTGGCCGGTTTGGCTCAGCAGTTAGAGCGTCCGCCTGCGGTCCGGAGAGACCCGGGTTCGGTTCCCGCTAAGGGCATGTACCTCGGTTGCAGTTTGTCCCCGGCCCTGGTTGGTCGTGCGGGTGGCAGCCACTCGATGTGTCCCTTTCACATCGATGTTTCCCTTTCTCTCTCTTTCTCTCTCTCCCTCCCACTCTGTCTGTACAAAAAATGGAAAAATGTCCTCGGATGAGGATTAAAAAAAAAAAAAAAAAAAGAGTGAAGGAAGTAAGGAAGAGAAGCTGAGTTGGAGGGCAAGGAGGATTTTTGACATGTTAAATATGAAGTATTAACAAGACATTCAAGCATGAAATATCCAGGAACATATAAGCTATGAGACTGGAGTTTGGAGGAAGTAAAAGGTTAAATCTGGAGATAAGAGCTTTCTATAGATAAGGGAAAGCTGAAGTTCTAGAATGAGAAAGAGAGGAGTACATAAGAGCCCCATGGTGATAAACAGCTGAACCTTGAAATCATTTCAAAACTAGAAATTCACAAGAATATGGGCACAATAAAATAGAAAAGGAACAATCAGTTTTTGGAAAAAAAATCTCAGGATCTAATTGTGTCACAGAAAACATGATTTTCAAAAAGGACTTGATGATAGATGATAGATGATAGATGATGGCCAGGGAATGTAATAGATACCATTATGTGCCTTGGCTGGTGTGGCTCAGTTGGTTGGACATTGTCCTGTGCACCAAAAGGTTGCCAGTTCAATTCCTGGTTGGGCACATGCCTGGGTTGTGGGCTTGATCCCCTGATCCCTGGGGAGATATGTGTGGGTGGCAGCCAATCAATGTCTCTCACATTGATGTTTCTCTCTCTCTTTCTCTCTCTTTAAAAATCAATAAAAATATTTTTTAAAAAAGATATCATTATGCTACTTACAAATGAGCAGGGCTTTCCTCCCACTCAACATACTATATAAAATTATTTAATTGCTGAGTGGACAGAAAAAGGGACTTTGTGGCTGTGAGCTAAACTGTTTTATGTATTTTAATAACAAAAGAGAGATATGTTAAGATGTTGCTATTCTTTGTACAAGTCAGTGATATACAAAATGAAAGATAATTTTGCTTATATGGAGTTGATTTTTAGGAATGTAATTTAGAATGGTGTTCTTCTCGGAGCTATTTTGTTATATAATAGGAGTAATACTGCAGATGATAAATGCTAGCCATATATTATAAGTGTGTGGGTAACGTATTAAAATGTAAAAGTCCTGACAAAAGTTATAGGAAACATTCAAAAACATTTACAACTGATATAGGGACTATTAAAGCATTCCTGGGATACTGCTAAACACACACAAAGATGTGTTTGGGTTCTCAAGAATCTTTAGGAAGTAATGCCTCTCTCTCATTTGCTTATGAAACAGTCTGTGTACAAGGTTTATCCAGAGCCAGACTTGCATTTGTGAACCACCTGGGAAGACACCACAGCCACAAGGCAATGTTTTTGGTCAGTTTTGGTATTAAAAATCACTCAAATCTGAATGATAGAGAATATATGATAGGAATCCCAGTACTTTTTCCATTGTCACTGATGGACTGGAAGCTGGCTTCTGGAACAGGAGTATGAACTTCTGTGCAAGAAATTCCCTTTACTTCCCCCAAATGGAAATCAGGAAATTAATAATTAATAACAACCATGGACAGATCCAGGTTTTGAAGGGCCTGAAGCTTATAGAATTTAGATGCCCTCCCTAAGGAAAAAAAAAAAAGAAAAGAATGCATAATTACAAATATAAGATTCAGTACGAAGCTGGCTATTTAGAATGAGAACCAAAAGGGACATGCAGTTGTAAGGCCATAAAGCATAAGGATCACCCGCTGATGGTAAAGGGAGAAAGGGCAGGTAATTATGCAGAGGAAAAATAAAAGATAAAACGCTCCTGAAGAAATACTGGAGCACAGAACAAGAAAAAGATAAAATATCCCTGAAAGAACCTTGAATTGTGAAATATGGATGATATGGAGATGGAGATGGCAGAGGAGACAGAACTCCTAATCAACTTAACACAACACATGCTCTTATTTTCCAGTGATCAACAATCATATTGCTTCTAGGTTTTTGGAAATACCAGTCCATTGCAGGCACTCAACAAGTGTTTGTTGAATGAGTGAGTGAGTGAGTGAGTGAGTGAGTGAGTGAGTGAATGAATAGAAGCAAGCAAAATACTTATTTTTAAAAATTTTTAGTTATTGATTTTAGAGAGGAAGGAGAAAGAGAGAGAGATATTTGTTGTTCCACACATAGACGCATTCATTGGTTGCTTCTTCTTGTATGTGCCGTGACCTGGGATCGAACTCACAACCTTGGTGTATCAGGATGGCACTCTAACTAACTGAGCTACTCAGCCAGGGCTGGGAAATACTTCTTTTTCTTACTCTCCACCAGGATCTGCTTTCCTCTGATGCTCCAACATACATGCATGTTTTTGCTGGCACTGGCTGGAGCTGTCAAAGCAACAGCTTATGCCAATCTCTTCTCTGGTGATTAAGACTGTTTATCCTCAACAGGCCAAGTAAAAAGCTATCTTCACCCAAAATTAATTTGTAAGCATGCTCAAAGTCTCCTCAAAGGATTATACATGAAAATGGCTTCTGTGGGGCCACTCTACTTACTCCCTGCCTTTTTCCCTCTTTCTAAATCAGATCCTGCAAGTATACTTTAGACATTATTAATATTCTGCTGGGTTGTGGACAGATTAGCATGGGATTCTAGCTAGGGCTGAAACACTATTTGTAAATTTCAAACATTTATACCAATTATGACAACATAAGTGACAATTTAATGTATCAGTCATGATGAGGTTTCCAGGAAGATAATGAAAAGCCTCATGCACCACTCCATTGATCAGCTACAAACCCAAGCCAGGACCAGAAGAATCCAGGCTCACCAGCTGGCTCAACACAGGACAGGATTTAAGGGGGTGGGAGCTCTTATTAAAGGACACAACAGGGAATACCCTGACCTGACCTTGACTCTAACTTCACAAAGGCATTCCCTTTGGGCAATAAATGCCCTACTTCTTCCTGCAAGTTCTAAAAACAGTGGGAGTAGGTTTTTTCTTTTTGTATTGTTCTCATTGAGGTAAAACATAGGTTAATAACATTATATACGTTTCAAGTATACATTATAATTTGATATTTGTATACACTACATTGTGCTCACCACCAAAATTCTAGTTTCCCTATTTCACCACATATTTGAACCTTTTCCTTACCAATTTTTTCTCCTTCCTCTTCAGTTACCACATTTTCTAAGGAAAGGCACTTTAAAAAGAGCAGGACTAGAATAACAGTATTACTACATCAATACTTCAAAAAGCCATATACTGATGTCCTTTACCTTTTAAGGGCAAAGGACTTGAAATCAGTGAGGCAAAGTAGCCACCTCAGAAATTAGAAGTGAGAATCTTAAATAGGAGAATATTATTTAGCTACTTTGCGGCTAAGTGCTTTGACTAGAAATGCCCGTTTCTTGGTTTTGTAAAATGGAGGCGATTATATTACCCACCTGTCAGGACTGCTGAGGATTTAAAAAATCCACATAAGGTGCTAAACAATAAATGCACAGCAAGAGCTGATTAAATGCTAGTACTTAATAGTAGTAATAAAGTATTCCTCTCCCAGTTCACATCACCAACAAAACTGGCACAACCCCCATTCCTACCCTGGCTGGGGCCGCCACTAATGCACTCTCCAATACAGGAAAGAAGACCATCTCCCATCCCCAAACACCAAGGCTCTACTAAAAATCCCCTACTCAGCAAGGACCAGGAACCTCATATTACAGACAAGGTTCCCACTGACCTGAGATGCCGCCTCCTACCACGATTACGTCGAACATATGGCCCGAGGCGCTAGCCTTCTCCCGACTCGCCATGCTCAGGTTGACAGTCTTCCCGGGCGTGGGTATAGGAGAGAGGCTGGCCAAGGGAGGGGAGGACTTTTCTACCCACTCTCCCCAGGAGTCCGGGGGCGGAGCCGATTCTTCCAGGGATAGCTGGGCTGAGTCCCGCCCTGAGGGCGGAGCGGATAATTGTACTGATACCCCGGGGGAGTCCCGGGGCCGATCCATTTCTTCCACTAGCACTCGACGGGTACCTGGTTCTGAGCGCTGGGTGGATACTCGTGCCAACATTAGGGAGGAGTTCACCGGCATAGAAGGTTGTTGTTCAGAACGCCGGAGGGGGCGGGACACTGAGGGCGGGCCGGACTCTGATACTAACCCTCTTGAAGAGCTATGGACTTTGACAGCTTCTTGTACCGAACTCTGTGTGGTGCTGAGCACTGAGAGCGGGGGCGACCCCTGAATGGCCGCTAGTGAGGAGCTCAAAAGAGTGACTGGTTCTTGTACCGAACTCCGTGGGGTGCTGAGCACTGAGGGCGGGGGGGACCCCTGAATGCACGATAGTGAGGATCTCAAAAGAGTGACTGGTTCTTGTATGGAACTCCGTGGTGTGCTGAACACTGAGGGCGTGGAGGAGCTCAAAAGCGTGACTTGTTCTTGTACCGAACTCCGTGGGGTGCTGAGCACTGAGGGCGGGGGGGACCCCTGAATGCACGATAGCGAGGAGCTGAAGAATGTGACCGGTGCTTGTGCTGAAGTCCTTGGAGTGCTGAGCACTAAGGGAGGGTCAGACCCCTGAATCAACGCCAGGGAGTATCCTGAGAACGAGACAGATCTTTGCACAGATACTTGGGGAGAGCGGATTACTGAGGGCTGGGTGGACTCTTGTAATGACCCCTGGAGGGTGTTTGGTGGGGTAGGTACTTGCACCGAATCCTGGGGAAAGCTGACCAATGACGGAAGAGAGTACCCATGTCCTGATATTTCAGAAATACTACCGGGTGCTGGAGGTGTTGGTGGTGCTGATGCCCCGAGGGAGCCGGGCATAACGGGCTGAATGGATTCTTGTGCCAATCCTCGGGGTGTGTTACTGGGTGTAGGAGGTTTAGTTACTGATACCCGGAGGTTGTCAGTATCCGGGATGGAGTCGGGGGCAACCCCCTCAGAGTTGTTGGAGCCTGTGTCCGAAATGGGGGCCCGGTTGGTCAGGCCATAGGCGCGAAAGCCCCGGAGGCCCATGTCAGAGTCTGTTTCAGTTCTTAGGCCAGTACTGGGGCTGAGTTGAGAAGGCACGCTGGAGCTCCAGGAGTCGTCCGCATCGGGTGTGAGACTGTTCGAGTGGTTGCTGGAAAACGAGTAAGAATCGGTTCGCCACTCAGATTGGATACTGGACTCGGATGTGGAAGGCAGGGCCGGGATCTGAGCTGAGGCGGCCGCGACTCCGGGCTCCCGTTCTGCCTCTGGCCCACTCCTGCTACCGCTGCCCTGGGAGGCCTCGGCCTTGCGTAAACTCATAGTTGAGCTAGGGTGAAGTCCTCCTCTCCTCCGCCCGGCCTCTTCCGGCGCTGGCCTCTAAGGCCCGACTGTTCTTGATCTGCACTCTCCGAAGCCGGATCCAGGAAGACAAGCCTTAGTGCCTGGCTCCGCCTTCCTCAACCGCTCGCGGCGCGCGCCTTGTACTCCTGGGTTCCGGGTAGTCCGGTAGCCGGGTGATACCACTGCGAGAGCGGGGGGTTTAGCGGTGCTCGTGGAGATTCTGCGGGTGAACGGCGAGAATATGGGCGTGATCCCGTGGGGGTTTCAATCTGATGATTTTATTCTTATACTTTAACTAAAAAGAGACTGGGCCCAGAGTAGGTTTAAGGAAGCGGGTACTTCAAGGAAGCAGGCCTGGATGGCGGAGTCATAGGCCCCTTGCTCCACTTGGTTTGGCTTGTTCGTGACGTCACAAGGGGCTGGATGAGGTTTGCGCAGTCTCAGTCCGTCCCTAGAGAGGGGCGGGGTGAAGTGGTAACTGTCACTTGGGGGAGACTTAACAATTATCGGTTTTCTATGAGTTTTTTCAAGCCGACGTGCTTAACCAATATTGAAGCAGTAGTTGAGAAAATTAAGAACTAAGCTATCAAAGATTAATTGGGATCTGCAGTTTAAAAGCAAAGGTCGAGTGATAGCTGAGGTGCAAAAACAAAACAAAACAAAAACAACACGTGTTTCCCCCCTTGAGAAAAGAGGAATTTTCAGAGCGCATACTTTACTCTGCAACTAGCCCCCTGTCTTCCTAGTTTTATCCCTTAAATTTCCCATTTTTCCCAATAGAATTGAATTTGTCATCACTAAACCCTCAAAAATAGATGTAATTATGACGGATTCAAAGTAAATAATAATACTAGGAAGTTAACTAGTATCTGTTCCCACCTATAAACTTATTACCCACCCACCTCTCATCCCATTCTGTATCAAACAATATCCTGTCGAAGAAACTGTAAGGAAATACACTTAGTCTTTTTTTTTTTTTTTTTTTTTTTTTTTTTTTTTTTTTTGGTACGTGCCCCTAGCGGGAACCGAACCTGGGACACTCTGGTCCACAGGCTGACCCTCCAACCTCTGAGCCAAACCGGCCAGGGTTAGACTTTGTCTTTTCTTTATCCAGTTTTAATAGCTTTTACTTTCTAGAAACAGAGTTGAGACAGACAAATAGGTATCATTTTTATCCTGTTAGACTTTGAAGCAGAACAAGAAAAAAATAATATTCATAAAAAATTCAGCCCTTTTAAATATGATCTGTCCAAATTTCTCCTTATTCCTATTATTTTCATTCAAATATTTGATTTCATACTATATGATGGGCACTGCACAAGATACAGAGGATACACAGGCGACACATGACAATTGGAGACCTTTATCAATCATACAGTCACTAGAGGAGCTAATAGAGGAGAGATAGACAACCTCACCCTTGTAAATCCAAACTCTGATCGATGTTATATTGGAAAGATCCATAGTGCTAAGAAAGAGTTAGGGTGTCCTGACCACTCTGGATGTTAACTTTGGGAGGAAGGGTGCAAAAATGTTCCAGAAAGAGGGAACAAAGTGGGCAAAGGCTGGTGGTAGATGGAAGCGTTGTATACTGGAGCCGCTGAAAGGCAGCCAATGGAGCTATAGCAAGGGGAGAAGCCAGGTACAAAGGTGTTGAGGTCCACTGGGCCAAAGTATAATCTCAGTATGTATTCTAAAGCAATGTAAGCCACTGCAAGGTTTTAAGCAGGGAGTAATATGACTAGATTGGGTTTAGAAAAGGTCTATCTGCCTGCAGTGTGAATAATGGATTGAAGAGGACTAGAGTAGATAGATACAGGGAAACCAAATTTTGGAATTCTTCGAAGAACAAGTGATGGTGTCTTGGACTACGGTGGGTGGCAGCAGTGGAACTGAAGAGATGTGCACATATTAGAAACATTTACATGTAAAATTGATAGGACTTGGTTGTGGCTAGGATTTGGGAGATCTTGAGCATGTTTTTAGACATGTAGAGTTTCAAGTGCCTTTGAGACATCCAGATGAAGGTAAAAAGTAGGCCTGAGATTCAAAGCAGGAGTTTGGCTGGAGATAAAAATATGGGAGTATTATTAAATAAATGATGGATCGGTAGAGATATGAGTATTTTCTCTATTCATTTTGTTTATATTGTACATTATGTATGTCTTTTGTACTAAAAAATAAAAAGTATTTTAAAATAGATAAATCAAGGAATAACTGTGACGTCATACAAGTATTATTTCCTCCCTTTTGTGACCTGGGGCAAATTATTTAACTTCTCTGTGTGTCTCCTCACTGTACAATCTCATAAATTGTTGTATAAGTTAGGGTTCCAGCAGGAAATGGCAAACTCTAGATCATTTAAAAAGAGTTTTCATATTTGTGGAATATAATGAACATAACAGTCTGAGGAATGGGGTAGTCCCAGAGATGTGGAAGTGGGGTACAGACTGACAATCCCCAGAAGAGGGGGTGGTGGGGGAGAGATAAACCACAGAACTTATATGCATGTATGCATGAACAATGGACATGGACAACAAAACTGGTGACAGGGCGGGGAGGGAGGGGGAGGGAGGTATCAGTGGTGGAAAAAAGGAGAAACATCTGTAACAAAAATAAATTAATTAATTAATTAAATTTATGTCTATATTTACATAAAGACTGTGTAAGAATATTTTAAATAATTCATAAAGAAGAGTTTTAGGAAGAGACTAATCCTTCCATCTGGTAATCTCTACAGTATAAAGCAACAATAAGTAAATCATTGTGGCATTGATAGCAAAGTAGCAAGAATAAGCAGGTCAGTGTAACAGAAGAGATGGTCCAAAACCATATCTCAGTACTTATATTACGTAAGGTAAAACAATTCTGTGGAAAATAGAAGGATTTTTCAACAGTTATGTGATGATTGGTAAACTATTTGGGTTTTTGTTTAGGTATCTATTCAGATCCTCACAATAGAACACATATCAAAATACATACCAGTATATCAGAATTAAATAATTAAATTTTAAAATATCAAACCATCAAAAAACAAAAGAACACAAATTTTATCGTTCAGGTCTCTAAGTTTAAAAACAATGGAAGGAAGAGTTGAAGGACAGATATAAGCACATAACATTTCCGTATATCTAAAATGTCATAAAAAATGTTAAAATGTAAATTGCAATAAACTATTTGCAGTGAAAATAACAAATGAGGGGTTAATATCTTATTATTAAAGCACTTACAGAAATCAACTACAGAAAGGCATAAACTGATCATTCACAACAGAAGAAAATGAAATGGTTATTAAATATATTATTCCTGATAAATATATTGATTACTGATAAAATATTTCATTAGTAATCAAGGAACCACTGATTAGAATAGTAATGCCATGCTGATTCTTCACCTTTCAAAGTAATAAAGGTAAAAAACATTAACTTGCTTAATGTTGTAGTGAGGGCAATAAGAAGACAGTCATTCTTTTTTTTGTTTTTTACAATTTTTAAAAATATGTTTTTATTTATTTTTTTGGAGAGATACAAATATATTTTTTAATTCATTTTTAGTTATTTATTTATTTTTAAATTAATT